AGGAAAGGTAAGGAAAAGTAAGGTAAGTTACTCTCGCGAGTAAGGTAAGGGGCGGGGGGGGGGATACTGGCTGTCAAGGAAGCACAGCGTCCCATGGCATGGAAACCCGGGAGAGGGGGAATACCGTGCTCGGGGTGCAAGAGTAGAGATGGGGCAGCCACCAGTCAGACCATCTCAGAGCCCAGAGGCCAGGAAGGCCATTGCCCTCCCCAAAGCCTCAGGCACAAAATTTAAGAGTATGACCCAAATGCATCAATCAAAACAAATATTTTAAAAATCAAAATACATACTAAAAAAAAGCCCATGATGAACAAATTATCAAAATTTTAAATACGGACAGGACCCACCAGGGCTGCATGGAGTCATACTGGAGCTTAAGGCGAAAGGAAAAATGCATGTCCCCATATAGATGTATGTATGTATGTACGCATGCATGTATGTATTTAAGTCAGCTCTCTCTATCCCAAAGCAGCCAATAATGAACAAGATCTTTTCCCTTTTAAAAAAAACTTCTTTTAATCATTCTTTGTCTTTCCTTCCAGTTTTTTTTAAATTGAGATATAACTGACATCTAGCACTGTATACTTTTTTTTGTAGAGGGGAAGTAATTAGGGTTTTACAGTTTTACTTCTTTTTTTTAAACGGAGGTACTGGGGATTTGAACCCAGGACCTTGTGCTTGCTAGGAATGCCCTCTACCACTGAGCTGTACCCTCCCCACTTTATTTATTTTTTTAATGGCTATTTTTTTCCCACCAGAATGTTTGCGTTGCTGAAAAAATAGTGAAAAGTTGAAAAGTAGATATATTAAACTTCACATTCTAAAATGCTTAAATATTTTATTTATATAATAATGGAATTTATTATGCTTTCACTATCCTGGCTTTAATGGAAGCAAACTATCAAAAGATATTTTCAAACTCCACTTTTTTGGCTTAACGATATTCCTGGAGATTTTGCCATGTTTGTGCCTATAGCTTGATTTCATTCTTTTTATCAGCACCATTGCATCTTGCTGTACAGCTGCACCCAAATTGCATCTTTTAAAAACTAGAGACTGAGGAAGCACCGCTCCAGCCACACGCTCCCATCAAAGGCTGCCTGTACAACCTGGCGGTAACGGGTGGTCCACTGGCCAACACATCACCTAGGAGCTTCTCAGAAATGCAGGGTCTCGGGCCCCACCTCGGATTTCCAGATTCAAGCGAAGCACTGGGTCTCAAATTTGAGCCAGAAACAAAATCCCTAGAGGGCTTGTTAAAACTCAGATCCTGGGTCCCACCCCTGACGCTCTGCTTCTGGGGTGGGGCTGAGAATCTGCATTTCTAACAGGGTCCCAGGTGATATGGAGGCTGCTGATGCCCGGAGTCACAGGTCTGAAGCAATGCCAGGTGGAGCCTTAGGACAGCACCTGGGGTTCCGAGGCAGCCAAGCCTCACCATGTCTCCTCTTCAAGTTAAAAGTACCCAGTTCCTTAACAGGGACCTACGGTATAGCACAGGGAACTACATCCAATTTCTTGTGATAAGCTATAACGGAAAAGAATCTGAAAACATATGTAAATATATATGTATGTATATGTATAACGGAATCGCTTTGCTGTACACCTGAAACTAACATTGTAAATCAAATACACTTCAATAAAAAGTAAAATCAAATAAATAAATATAGAAACTAAGGAGCCAAAAAAAAAAAAAAGTCCCCAGTTCCTTACTGGTGGAGTTTGATGAGGGAAGGAGGCCGCCCCACAAGGCGGCACTCCACTCCCTGGGGGGAGGGAGCGCTATTCCCTTCCCCCTCTTGCCCCTCCCCCCCCACTCCAAACTTCTCCCAATCTGCATTTATCCCAATCCAGTCAATCTTTCCCTTTAGGCTCCAAACAGACACCATTGTTCCTTCTTCAGTCAAGACAGGATTTGTTTGCCTTCTCCTTCTCAGTGTGGCCCAGAGGGAACAGAAGACCAGAGGGCGTGGGGTGGGGCAGGGAGCGGGCAGAGACGCAGCTCTGGCCACTGCCCCCTCCACACTTCCCTGACCTCCGATCTGGATTCCTCAGCCTCCCTCCCGGGAACTCCGAAGCTCCCACAAGAACGGCAGGCACCTTGAACTGACTCCTTTATTCCAGTCAGAGAGGAAAAGGTACAACCAACACGAGGTGTACCGCTCCCCACCACCTCCCCACAGAGACTGAGTGGGGGACCCCGCAGATGCGTACCCTTTTCAACTGGTTATTGCAGCTTGTGCTTTCTGCTCTATAGCTTTTACACTGACTGAAGTCTTTTACAGAATAAATCATCACTTTATAAACAAGAAAAATAAAATGCTTTCAATAAATGCTGTTTGTCCGATGAGCCTGGCACCCCCGTCATGCTAGCGAGCCACACCCAGACCACCCTCAACACCTAGAGAAATGAGATTCCCCGCATCCCACCCCCCACCCCCGGGGGGCCGCTGGTGCTGGGGGCCTGCCAGCAGCGAAGGTGGAGACACTCCACGCTGAGTCTGGCACACGCCAGTGCTGGTGGCTATATTTTACTCTAAACGACGGCTCTCCCCCAACCAAAAGCCAGTCATCTCCTTCCACGGATGGCCAGCTGGTTCAACCTGAAAACACTTAAAGAAATCCAAAAGAATGTTCTCTAAAAACAGGCCCATGACGTTTTTCTCACGGGCTGGGGACCGAATATACATTCGTTTCTTTCTTTTTATTTTTTATTTTCTTAGAGGGAGGAAGTAATTAGATTTGTTTATTTTTTTGTTTATTTTTATTTATTTTAAATGGAGGTACAGGGGATTGAACCCAGGACCTCGTGCATGCTAAGCATGTGCTCTACCACTGAGCCATACCCTCCCCGCTACATTTATTCTTGAAAGCTCAGGGCTCCCCTCCCTCTTTTTTGACCTGAGACCAGTCAGTGGCTGTAATGTTTCACACGTGGCCTCAGTGATCTGTCAACCCCACTTAAATACAGCAATTTTCCCTATTAAGTGTGTAGTGGATGTTGGTGGTCCCCAGTCCAGACCCCCCTTTCTGGGCCAGTGCCTCACTCCTCAGCTGCCATCTGTGTTGGCAGCTGACAACTCCCTGCTGTCCCTTTCTCCAAGGGATGGACACTAAGTAACTGGCCTCTCTGCCCAGGAGAAAGGCAGCTCCTAGCCAATGTCTGACTGACGAGTGCAGAGAGGTCCCCAGCTCGCCCAAAGACAGGACCATCCACACTCCAGGGCCCCTGGTGGCATCAGGCTGGGGCCAGACTCCAGCTGAGGCCACCTCCTTGCTCAGTGCTTCTCCTCCCCTGCCCTGCTCCCCTCCCTCACAGGCTTCTCCTGAGAGACCTCCCTCAAGAAACTGGTTTATGAGTGGCCATCTCAGAATCTGCTTCTAGGGAACCCGACCTAAGACAATTTGAATTGAAAATAGCCATTCGTTGCCGATATATCTTAACCGACATTCTTCTGTACCAGTTTCTCTCTTCTAGTCTGGAATCAGGTGTCATCTGACTATCCCCCCTCCCCCATCTCAAACACACACACCTCTGATTCACTCTTTCCTTGGTGAAGTCACATCCAAAAAAGAAGTCTTTATCTTTTCTTTCATCTGCTTGGATATTAAGGTAAGACATTTTCGGTCTCTGGTTTCTCTGGATCTTTTCCAAGATGTTTCCTTGTATTTTGAGTCTTTCCTCAGATGCCCTGTGCTCTCAGTAATTGCAGAGGACAGGAGGGAACGTGGGGGAGGGAGGGAGGGCTAATCCTGATTTCCCCCGTCCCACTGTCTTGGCCCACCTTGTCAATATTGTCATCACAATTCTCAGAAGAAGGGCCCTGGGATCCCAGATCAGTTTAAATTAGTCATGGCCTAACCGCACTGGAAGCAACCATAACCTTCACTCAACTATCTACAGTATTTGTGAGAACAATGTCCACATCTTTGCTTCTGGTCCTAACACAACACTTAACTGTAATTGTCAAAAACCCCATATTCTTGTCTCAACCAAAGGCAAAACCAAACAGAGTTCTGGCAAGATCTTTTGGAGCCAGTGAGGTGGTTCACATGAACTACAAAAAGGTCTGAGAACCCCAAATTTTCTTTTTTTTTAACTGGTTCTCCCTTTTGTACAGAGCTCAGAGCTGGTAGGGCAGGCCTCTCACACCCGGAGGCCAGGCCGGTTCCTCCACAGACCGCACAGCATCCCAAGAGCCGGTGGCCCTTTTTCCATTTGCCACTAACTCATTTGTCAGCAAGCCCCTGGATCCTCATTCTGATCCAGTATTACCTCCATCAGGAAACAAGCCAGAGCAGGGAAAATAGGTTCAAGACATTTCCATAATTCTATTTGTTGGTCACTTTGAGAGTCAATTATAATTTAAAAATTGTAAATAGGGGTAGAGTGCATGCTTAGCATGCATAAGGTCTGGGTTCAATCCCCAGTACCTCCTCTAAAAATAAATAAACCTAATTACCTCCCTCCCCACCTCCAAAAAAATAAAGAATAGAAAAAAAATTTTAATAATTATCTGTAGAGTCAATGATCTTAGTACTGTCCAACAGCAATTAAAATGCAAGCCACTTTGTAATTTTAAAATGTCCAGTAGCCTCACTAAAATAACTAAAAAGAAGCAGGTGAAATTAATTTTAAAAGTATATTTTGTTTACCCCAATACATTCAAAAGATTACCATTCCAATAAGGAATCAACATTTAAAATGGAGATATTTAACGTTCTTATTTTGTATCCTCTCCCTAATAAATTTCTTACACCCAAATCCTTGCATCAGGCTCTGTTTTGGGGGCAACCCAAACTAAAACCTTCTCATCTGCAATGCTCTTACTCCCGTCCAGATGTGAAAATCTTGCTTATCCTTCAAGGCTTGGCCAAAAGGACACCTCCTCTGAGAAGTATCCCTGGTGCCTCCTCAGAAAAAATGCACCTTCCAGGCCTCCCCACTAGCATCGCCCCCTTTCCTTCTGTCTGGCATGCCTGCTGGTTTTCCTGGGTCACAGTCAGGTGTTTGGGTTCTTTTCCCTGCCTTGGCTGAGCTCTGCAAGCACAGAGCTGTCTTCAGGCCCGTCACACAGCAGGTTCTCAGGAAAACTCTGCCAACTGTTTCAACATTTACCACCACAAATAGTTAATATTTACCAAGTGCTTACAATGTATGAAGCACTTTATAAGCCATTATTGCCCTGAAACCTCACAACCATCACTCAGGTGATAGGTAATAAAACATGCCCATTTTAGAGATGGACAAACTAAAGCAAAAAGATAAATAATTTAGACAAGAGCACACTCAGCTAGCTCAGATCTGGAATTCTTAACTACTAAACTTGCAAACTCTTCCCTGAGAGCAGTCAGTGACTAATACTTCCACTAATGGAGAATTAACTCAGTCACAAATGAGGCAGCTCCAGCAGCGCAGTGTTTGCTCCAACTGAAGGTACCAACAGCCAGCAATGCTTCCCAAGCCCCCTTCACTGTGTCTTCAAGGCCAGGATGAGAGAGCCCACCAGGCAAGGAGTTTCAGAAGCAAAGGGCCATGCCCTCAAGGCTGTCCTCAGACAGAGATGAAGAGCTGAGGAACGCTCCAGGACAATCCACGACAAATGACTGAGTGAGTGGTCCCCAGCTTCCTCCAGCCCTTGGGTCAGTTGTCTACAAGCCCAGCTTTGCAGCCATTTGTTGGGTCCAACCATAGCCTTGGGTCCCCCCATCCTACCACCACCCACAGGACCCTTCGCCATCTGTAGGACCCTCCACCACTCACCACTCCCGAAGCATTCTACTGGGTTGCATTTCTGTCACGTTCAAAACCAGGCAACAGTCATTAGTGCTGTTAGAAGTCACATTACTGGAGCCTCTCAGAGGGAAGGAGATGGTGACCGGAGGGGGCAGAAGGGAGGGGGCAGTGACTAATGAGGAAAAGAAATATTCCAGCTCCTTATATGGGTGAGTTCACTTTGTAAAAATTCCCACATTCTCAAACTATGTACTTATGATTTGTGTGCTTTGCTGGATGTTTGTTATATTTAAATGAAAATTTCCCTTTAGGAAAGTTTTTTTTAAAGGAAAAAAGAAAAACTTTTTAGTACACCAGTCCACGCTCTAAGGTGGAGGACACCCTTCTCAGGCCAGGAAGGCAGCCTATGGCCAGTATTCTAAGAACAAAAAAGTGTGATAAGAGCTATGAAAGAAATCTGAATACAGAGGATCTGAGAAGGGCCCTGGATTGGGGCGAGGGAACTCAGAGCCCCACTGGGAGAGAGGCGTGGACATTTTCCCATCCCCACCTAAATGCCAGGGGAACCACTAAACCCTGAAAGAGCTTGAGCGCTCAGTGAAACTATAAATAGTAAATTCTATGAGGCTACAGGGAGAGTGAGTGATGACCATGATGAGACTGAATGGTTAGGACTGGATGGTTTAAATGAGATAAAATGGAATTGCATGGATAAGTTGGGATGGGATGGGATGGAGTAGGATGGGGGATGGAATGGGATGGGGTGGAGGGGATGGGATAGGATGGAATGGGATGGGGTAGGATGGGGGATGGAATGGGATGGGGTGGGAGAGGTTAGGATGGGATGGGATGGGATCGGGTAGGATGGGGGATGGAATGGGATGGGGTGGGAGAGGTTGGGATGGGATGGGATGGGATGGGATGAGGTGGGAGAGTTAGGATAGGGTTTGAAAATGGGACCCAGACTGTGAGGGGCTTTACACAAAACCCGACAAGATGGGGAGTTTGGATTTCATCCTGCCAGAGATTTTTTAGCGGGGAAGTGGCATCTTACAATTCTCCTCAAGGGATCACTCTGGCAAAGGTGTGGATGGTGGACCTCAAGGAGAAGCCTGAGGGCCAGATGTTTCCTACATAAAACTAAGGAGGCTACTAACAATCAGAAGGGCCGGCAGAGAGCCGACGGGCTCCCCCAGGCCTGCCTGTGGGATGGAGCTGGTGAGGACCCAGACCCGCACTTCACAAGGAGACACTGAGGAGGTTTCAGGGGGGGAGGGCACTTGCCCACCAGCCCCTGTAGGAGGCTCGGGCAGCTCTAAGCCAGCGGGGTTATCCTCCTTCTCCTTCTGAGCTCTCGGGAGGAAAGCGATGCTATTTTGAGAAAGGCTCATTTCCCAAGAGAGGAACATAAAATACCACCAGTGGGACCACAGGAACCACACGCTAGCCGTCAGCCCGGCCCCAGGGCTGCCCCAGGAAACCCCGCTCCCCGTGGCGGCATCACAGCTCCCTGGCCACTTGCGGCCAGTCATGTCTCCACCGCCAGAACTGGCACCACTATCCCCCTCTGACGGGGCAAGACCAGGCCTCCAGAAGGGTTTGCCTGGCCCCAGAGACACTGCTGGCCGGTGGTAAAGCCAGGAGGCCGGGCCCCAAATGCTGCGCCCTGCGATCTTTCCAGAAACACAGCACAGCTCCAGGCTCCCAACTTGGTTCTCTGGGGGCAAAGAACAGGGATGCTTGGCCCCGCGCCTCCCTCACCTGTGTGTGTGCGGACGTGCCTCTTGAGGTCGAAGGTGTCGTTGAAGCCCTTGCCGCAGAAGGTGCACAGGTGCCTCTTCACCTGGTTGTGGCACTTGAGGTGCCGGTTGAGCATTCGCTGCAGGCGGAAGGCCTTGCCGCACAGGTCACAGCTGTGAAGCGCCGCGTCCCCGCACGTGCCTGTGGTGAACTGGACAGAGAGAGGCGTGAGGACAGCCCGCCTCCCTGGGCTCCAGGCTTGGCCTGGCTGGGCTTCTGCCTTCCTCAAACTTCCAAGCAGAATTTGGCTGTCAAAAAGCTGGAACCAGGGCAACTCCTCCCCACCTCCATTCTCCCCTTTGTTCTTGGAACAAACCTCTGACTTCTAGCTGGGGACACCCACCCAGCTAAACCCCGGCTTTCCCCAGCCTCACAGCAGGTCCCCGCGGTGAGACCACCTGGCTGATGAAATGTACTCTGAGGGGAAGGAGGGTGCCCCCTCCCTCCCTGACTCCTTCCTGTAGCTGGAGCTCCAACAGCCACCTTGGACCTTAAGGCGGAAGCCAGTGCTGAGGATGGAGAAACAGAAGGATAAGAGGAGTCTAGGTCCCAATAACATCCTGGAGTCTCCAAAGACAGCCACAATCAATTCCTTCCCCCGGTGCCTGCATCCTTTAGAGATGGACACTGTTTCCTCTCCTGTCGCATCTGGGCAGGCTTGTATCAGTTCCAGGTCTTGAGAGACCTTCCAGCTTCTACATCCTCCCTCCTGGAAGCCAGCTGCCGCGAAGGAGCCCAAGACCCCCATGCTGTGAGGAAGCCCACGCAGCCGCGTGGAGGAGCGTTGAGGTGCCACGTATGAGGGGACTCACTGGCTTTCTGGCCCACCCAGGGCAGCCACCAGAGTGAACAGACTCGGCCCAGAGTACAACCCTCTCGACCAGCCGTGCCCCAGCTCCCGACCCACAATCATGAACAAATTGAACAGTCATCTTGAGAAGTGAGTGGGTCAGGATCCCACAGCCTCATTATCAGAAAAACTATCACCAAATCTCAGTTCTGGACTGCCTGGGCCATTCTCTCAACCGTGTTTGCTGCCTCAAAGGAAGAAAACAGAATCTCCAACTGTGTGATGAAAAACACCAGGTCAGATGTATTCATCAAAGGTTTCCTAGTTACCTGGTCCTAGTTATCAGATCCTTTGGAAGATGGATCCAATTGTTCTGCCAAAATTCTATTCATAAAAGGACCTAGAAAATTTACTTTCCGACAAGCATCTTTTTAGCAAGAAGAGCTGGCCCTTTCCTGACTTACCTCCTTTCTAGTCTCAGACACCCTCCTCCTTCGACCCACCGTGAGTACTGCCTTCCACTGAGACCCAGCTCAACTGTCCCCTCCCTGATGCAGCTTCTCCAGCCGCTGCAGCCCCTGCCCAAACTAATCCCTGTACCCCTGAGACCAGTGCCCCTCAGATCCCACTGTGCACATGAATCCTCTGGGGTTCTTGTTAAAACGGGGGTTCTCATTCAGGATGTCTGGTGGGGTTTGGATGCAGCATTTGTAACCAGCTCCCAGGAGAGGCCACCGTTCAGTCCATGGACCGCACTTCAGATGTGAGGCACTGGCCCTCCCACAGTTCAATACTTTATTCCAACTCATTCTAGACGCTTCCATTACACACGAACATTTCCTCAGGTTTCATTCTGGAAACGTTCCTCTGGCTTTCTCAGAGTAAAAACGGAAGTTCTCCAAAATGCCTAAGCAAAGGCAGTGTTCCCATTTCTCCATGATATACATCCCCATTTCACAGCATGGAAAACTGAGTTACCACAAAGTGCTCCTTTAGGGAATTCCCATAAGGTGCATCCTTCCAGCCCATGAAGTGTGGCTTGCCACCTAAATATGCATCTTGGACCAATCCAGCCCCCAGACATGTATGAATTATATTCAGAGCCTCTGAAGAGAGGCTTTTTGAAAGAAGATATAGGGTTAATTAAATGACAAAGGATCGTGGACGGTGAAGCCATCCTCTGTCAGACTAGTTCACTCCTCAGAAAGAAAGGAATAATTCCTTTCTCAGAAAGGAGAAATTCCTCAGAATTCCTGAGACAGTCTCTAACTCCTCAGAAAAGTATTTGGAGGAAAAATTCCTCAACATGAAGTTTATCCCACAGAGTGTATTTCACTTGTGCCTTGAAATTTGTTCTGTAATAGCAAAGGCTGAAACTACCTGTATGCCCATCAACAGGGACTTGTTAAAAAAAAAACATTTAAAAAGATGGTAGAATCAGATAATGAAAGCAGCCAGAACATGGACAGAGGACCAACTAACTGCCAGCCACATGAGTGAGCCCCCTTGGGTGTCTAACCCCAGCTGTCACCTGACTGCACCCTCAAAAGAAACCCCAGGCAAGACCCACCTAGCTGAACCCAATCATTCCACAGAACTGGAAGATATTATAATAAATTACTGTAAGATGCTAAATGGGGGGTTATTTGTGACAGCAATAGACAACGAGAACGGTGATCGATGTATCATCAGCACCAGGTCGGCCACATTTCTGAGCTGTCTCTCCCAGGATGGGCTCCGTGGTCCAGAAGGCACCTGTGATTCTTGAAATGATGCCCTGTGGGCTGGAGGACCAGCCATCCCTCCTCGGCCCAGCTGTCTGCTCACTGGGGCCATCTTTGTTACGTTTACTTGGGTGCACACCTACCACTCTACCCCCGAAAAGTTCAAAATAGGGCGAACCAACATACCTCGTCACTCTACTCTTCAAGGGGTAGACCAAAACTTGTTACAGCTTATAGTCATCTCGGTTACAAAATGAGCAAATGGAGAGACAAGAAATGCTGGGGATCAAATAAAAATCTAGACCTGGCTGCTGCGCGATGTTATTTAGAATCCCTGGCCCACACTTCCCCACGTGCGAAAATAATCAAATGGAGTTAGAGGAGTTCTTTCGCTGAATTCAAATCCTGCTCCACCACGCGCAGTCTGGGGCAAAGGCGAGTTACTGAACCTAAGCTTTCATTTCGTCACATAAAATGTGGACAATAATGATACTTGCCTCTTGGATTGTTAGGGAATTAAGGAAAGCTACTTTAAAAGGACTGCTTGCTCGATAAATCCTAGCTAACTCTTAAAGTTTGACAAGCTCCAAAACCCTGTGACCCCTAAATAAAAGGTAATTGGTCAAGAAGGGGTGGGCAGCGCTCAGCGGTAGAGTCCATGCCTAGCATGCATGAGGCCCTGGGTTCAATCCCCAGCACCTCCGTTAAAAATAAACAAATAGGGGGAGGGTGTAGCTCAAGTGATAGAGCACGTGCTTAGCATGCACAAGGTCCTGGGTTCAAGCCTCAGTACCTCCATTAAAAATAAATAAATAAAATAAATAAATAAACCTAATTACCAGAAAAAGGTAATTGGTCAAAACCCCTTGTTCCTCCATTTGTCTTTTGAGTTTTTCTCTCACTGATGGAAGAAGGGAACTAATGACTCCAATGTGGGTCACCAGCACCCAGTCCTTCATCTGTAACTCTGCAATCCGAAGAGCGCTGGAAACCAACATTCTCTCTTATCTCCCTTGGCAACAAAACCGGAAGCTACCCATTTGGGGAAAATGTTCACGTTTTGATATGGGAACTATTCATGTGTTCAATTACAGGTTCAATTACCGCTCCAGACACCATGTTACCTCTTGGAAAAGCATAATAGTCTCTCTCTCTCAATCCAAAATTAACACTGTCCAAGAGGTTTATTACCGAAGTGGAGATTAATTAATTAACTGGAGCCAAACTCCGGGCAAGGAAGATGAAGAGAGACTGAGTAAGTCCCCAGCCCGGTAGGTTGGCGCTTTCTCGTTGGCTGTCCTGCTTTCTACAGGATCTCGCCTTTCATTTGAAAAAACACACAAAGTTCTCCTCTAGTTCTTCTAAAACACAGGCCTCTGCGGCAGAAACAAACCCATCATTGTATCAGAGCTGCTGAAGGCTTCAGGAGCGTCCGGGGAGGTAGGGACTTCAACCAGCCCTCTGACCAACTTCAAAGCTGACTAAGGTCATTCACCTGCCAACTTGGAAAGGAAAAAAAAAATCCTTATACCTGAAATTAACATTGTAAACCAACTACACTTCAATTAAAAAAAAATCCTTTATTTTCTGTGGATGCTTCTACCAGAAGAGTCTTCAAATTAATGGTCCTATTATTAATGGAGGTGACTGTGAGTCCAGGCTACCTTCTGGCAGCCATTTGGACAAGATCTCCATTGACACATTTGCTTATGCTCGAACACTCAAAACATGCTAAGCATATTTCTCTGATTCTTTGGGATAAAAATTCCCCTCCTGCTCCCATGGACCATTTCCTTAAGCTTCACAACTCCACTACATGGCAGAATGCAGAACCTTCTCAAATGCAGAGAGGCTGGAGAGAATACATCCCTATAGTCCAGAAGAAACGGAGGCTCAAAGATCTGTAACCAGCCTGTGGCCGCATGACTCGTAGGCGCCCACACTGGGATTTTGATGGGGCCGGTTATCTGCGAAATGTGTGGCTACACTTCCCCGGGACAGGCCCACGGGTCTGGGCATGATGTGGGGGAGAGGGAGGGGATGAGCCCTACAGTTTGCCTCATATCGTGGTGAGAAATAGCTTTGGGTTCCCTCATGTCAGATTGTTACTGCGAATGGCTGAAGTGTCAAGGATGCCTTCCAGCAACGCGAACAGAATAAGGAGCCTCGGCTGGGCTTTGGCACTAACAACCGTGAGGAACTCAACAAAACCTCTCTGGCTTTATCTTCCTCCCGTTAAATACGAGGTGACTGGACCACAGAAACTTTAAGGGTCCCTGTAGTAGATCCTATGGGTGGACACGCTCAGCCTCTATTCCTGCTCCTCTGGTGGGCCTTGCTGTACGGCATAAGCTAGAAAGCTAGACACATTTTCCAGAATCCCTTGCAGCTGTGGGTTTTAGATGTGACTTGGGCCCCACCAGTTACATGCCACTGTCAGGAGATTTGAATTTGTGCCTGAGTTAATTGAGCAGAGGCAGCTCCATGGCAACTGTTTCACACTCTGCACTAGCAGAAGCATTGTGATGCACGAACAGCAGCCATTGAGGCAGCAGCTCCCTAGATGGCCCAGTTCTGCAGTGTTGGCTCTGGGAGTCATTCCTGGGAGCTTAGCCTGGTCTTTCCGTAGTCCACTTAGTACCCTATAATTAACCATTCTCTGCTTAAGCTAGAGGCATTGGATTCCGTCTCTGCAATGAAATCCACGCTGTCCCTTCCAGCAACAAAAACCCATTTCGCCTATATTCCAACTAAAAGCTGGTGGAGTTAACACTGATATTGTTCTCCTATTCCTCCTTTTTTCTCCCTTTAAATTAATTTAAGCTTTCTCAGGCATTCATTCCAAGCATTTTCCCTTTTTTTCCTTGCTTCCTGTTTTTCCCTAAATGCTGTCACTTACGTCTAGGGACTGTTGACTCCTTTCTTGCCTGTGTTTCTCCTCTGTGTTGACTTAAGTCCTCCTATGAGTCAGGCATTACTGCACTGGGTGCTGGAAATACAAGCCCTGTAGGAATGTTCCCTGACTTTGATGGGTCTCGAATCAAGGAGTCTGGTCAGCCAAGGAGATAGCCAATGAGTTACAATATTGGTGGGGGAATTGAGGCATCCAGTTCTGTCTTGGGAGATAGAAGACAAAAGGCAAGGAGTTAGGGATGGGGCTTATGTTCCCTTCTGAATATCAAATGGATGGAGTTTTTAAAAATACTCACATCCAGGGCAAACCCCTTGTCCCTACCGTAGGCAACAAAATACTGGACGTTAACAAAATTTGCTGTTCATCACTATCAGCTAACTCCCTACTGGGCAGTTTGTACATGCACAAAATTGCTCAACAATTTACACCCATTATATCATTTAATCTACCCAGTATTTCTGAGAAGCCAATTCTGTTATTTCTCCATCTTACAGATCAGTGAACTAAGGCTCAGAACAGATAATATATCCCCAACGGCAGCTGGTAAGATAGACCCAGAAGAGATTTTTCTTCTCAGAAACCTTCCAGAGCCCCTCCTTCGCTCCCACAGAAGTATCCACACGTCCAGGCGTAGCCCCTTTACCACCTCAGCCTGTCCTGGCTACATTTCTAGCTCCTCACCCCTCCCCTGGACTCCCCAGACCCCAGACATGCTACCCATCCTCCCTCTGGCCACCACAGCTGAGTCCTATCCTTACTCAAGCTTGGGGTTCCACCCACACCACCCTAGAACCTGTCTCTCCCATTCTCCAACAGCCCTCAAATCCACACCAAGAAATCCTTCCTCTGCTCAGAATTTATCACATCTTTGCTTGTGGTTCTGGCTTAGTGTTCACTTTCCTGTAATTGAGTTAATAATTAATACGGTATTTGTGTCTCCCCACCAACCCAAATAATTCTAGCTAGAGTTATTAGGTACCATGTTTCACACTTAGCTCATTTATCCTCAGAACTCTGTGAGGTATCATCACTGTTCCCATTTCACAGACAAGGAAATCAAGGCCGAGGGAGTAGCAACTTGCCCAAGGTCAGACACAGCTAAGAAGTGATGAAGCCAGAGCTCAGAGGCTTAACAGCTACAGTTACATGATCCTGGGTAGTGGCATCTTTATCTTGGGGCTGGGCTGCCTCGTACACAGCAGGCACCTACATAGTGGGGGACGGGATACCGCCTCTCTTTGCAGGTCCCTGGCTCAAATCTGTCCTTCCTCTGGCCCTAAGAACCAACTGCCTAGTGAGTGTTTTCAAGTCATTAAAACAATGCGTCATGCCTGAGTGGCTTTCTCCCTCTTAGGGTTAGGGAACTAATTTCTTAGACAGTTCAGCGTGCTTTGCATAGAATTCTAAAGTTACACATCGTGCTAAGTCACAGGCAATTTGACCAGTCATTTGAACATGGCAATACCACAGCTGAGAATTGTTGCAGGCTTGGAGCATCTTAACACCAAGATGTGGCCTATTTGCAGGTGGAAGCAGAGGGAGAAGGAGCCTGAATTTAGTTCTCAGTAAACAAACAAAAACTTCTCTGGAAACTTTGTTAACAGTTGAGCAAAGTCTGTACCTCGTCCCCCACCCCTAGGGGCAGCACAAAGACAAGGATCATGGAAATAAGACTGGTTTACTCACTCCCTTAATCCAAGGATCCAATGCTGCTCTTTGCCTTGGGGCAGCAAAGAGATGTCCTAAAACGGTGGTTAAGGGACTGGATATTTTTCCTTTGCCACTTTCTCTTCAGGGTAATACGGGCAATTGGGGGACAGAAGGGTAAACTAGCTATAGATGATCGCTAAACAAGGTAGCAACTGCCCTTCCAGCCTGGCGATAAATATGCAAGTGGGACAATGTGTAGAATTTCCCGGAGGGCAGAGCTACCAGCCTCAGGCGAACTGTCCCTCCCACTTAACCCCATCTGGCCCAGAAAAGCCTCCAGCCAGCTGACTTTGAACCTCAGCAGCACACTTAACAATAGGCTGGATGCCCACACCCAGTTGGAGCATCCTTTAAAGAGGTCTTACCTAAGGATTCCTGCTCAAGCCTCTAGCCTCAATTCATAACCAAATGCACCCCAGCCCACCCCAGAGCCAGAAATATGCATAGGGGAGGGATGACCTCTCCCAGGAAAAGTAACGGAGGTTTTCTCAATCCACAGCAAATCCTAGGGTTTCTCCTTCCCACACACCCCCTGCTTGGGCAGCGGGGCTGCAGGATCGCCCTAGAGCGCCCAAGAATTAACACCTACACCAAGGCCTGGAGCCCGCAAAGGCTCACACTAAGGCCCACCTGGCTAGAAGCTGGGATCATGTGATTCCTAAAACGCCACTCCCTGGCTCCAGCTTGCTGTGAGTCAGTGGAATGGGACTGTTTAATCTTACAGGTAGCGGATACCTTTGAGCAGGCAATCATGGAAGTTCCACCTAGGAAAGCACAGATGGGCGTCCCGATAAGATAAGACGTGGCCTACAATTCTAGGAGGCCAGGTAGGGGTGGGAGCCCGAGAGCGGTAACAGAGGAAAACAAACACTCCAAACCACGGGGGGAGGGGCAACGGGGCAATTTGCAGTTGAATCCGTTTATCCGTCAATTCGAGAAGCTTTGACCAACACAAGTTTAAAGTGCCCAGCACAGACCTCGTGTCTAACGGGCACTGTATAATTGGTTCTGGGAACAGTCTGTTATTGTGAGAGACCCACTGTGTGCCAAGCTGCCGCCACTGTCTCCAGAACGCGAAGAAGGGGGTGAAACTCAGAATTCACCAAGCGCTCAGAACGGCGCCCCAGAGTGGGGATCTCGGAGCCTGGGGTCCCTCCTTTCCCACCCCGGGAGCTCCGATGGCCTGGTTGTTCCTCAGGCCTCGCTCACAGAATGGGCTGCTGCGGGGAGGAAGCTGGGCCTGCGCCTTTTTAGGCAGTTCCAGAGGCCACGCGGGCAGACTCGGGCC